TGGGCGCTTTTTATTTAACTTCTTTTGGACTGATGCATGCAACACCCGCTGAGTGGCATTAAACAGCTTGAAAGATCAAAGACAATTTTTAATATATCTCCGACTGGATTCGTCTGAAAGAAGAAAGTCATATACACCTAGGATGCCTCGGGGGTGAGTAATTTGTGGGCTAATTTTCATTTTTGGGTGAACTAACCCTTATAGGTGCTCTGCTGTGTAGCATGGACTTGACTTGAATGATTCTCTAGCTCATAACAGAGCGAACACCACTGTGTGTGTGTGTGTGTGCAGGGCAGTGTTGTCTGTATCAGATCATTTGCTAGTGCTAGCCAAGATATTAAATGACACTTTCATATAACAGTGTGGTTTTATTCTCTTCTGCCTTTGGTAGAAGTCTGGCTTCATTCTCAGGTGGAAGGAACTCAAGGTGATGTCGACCCCAGATAGGTGTCGTCAGATGCTGCCAACGCTGAACAGAGAAACAGTCACACAAACTGAAAATAACTGCATCCAACAACAGACCACAGATTCATACAACTTCTGGTGAGTAACTAGAAGTCATTTGGCATCAAATGAGTTATCAGTAAATAAAACAAAAAATATATTTAAAAAAACAGTTTTACTTAAAACGAAATAAACATTAACTGAAATAAAAGTATACTACTTTACGTACCACTAAAACTACTTCAGATCATGAGTAGCTTTTAGCTTGATATGCTACAGAGTAGTTTTTTGCATGATAAGCAAAGTAGCAGCACACACACGTGACAGTCGTACCTCCATGAGAGTGCCTTTGCAGTGCAGCAGTTTGTATAGGACGGTGAGAGGAATGCAAAGCATGGATGAGAGAGCGAGAAACCAGCCCAGCACCTCACCCCACCACGGGTACACATACACCGCATTATACACTAATCGCTTGTAGTTGACCACATGAAACAAGAAAACACCCTGCCAAACACACAAACACCCCTTTAATAGCCTCTCAAGAATATGAAACCCCATGTTGATCCATTATTGCATGAAAACCCACCATACACACTACCGGAGTGACGTAAGACCAGCACCACTTCATATACGGCAGAGGACGATAGCCGATCATACAGGCCACATTGTCCATGAAGCGATCAGCACCTTCAGAGAGAGTCAGAGACCGAGAGTGAGGTGTTTTTATGGGTTAACACAAAGACTCTATGTGTATCTGCATGCTCACCATGATTTTCCCAGGTATGACATGTTCCTGAATCAATACACTTGTTGGAATGGGAGATCGTTCCTATAAAACAGGGCTTCCCAAACTTTTTAGTAGCCGAACCCCTTCAACGCAAATATTTACTTTAAGTATGCGTGAGATTTTTAAGTTAGTATTTCAGTAATTTAACATATATTTGCATATTCCCAGCAAGGTTATTATAGCCAACTTAAAATAAAACCATAAAAAATGTTACTTGAATTAAAATAAATGTTAATTGAATAAAATAAGATATTTTAAAAAAAGTTTTTTAATGTAGTTGCCAAAGCATTTCTCATTTTCATTTAGTTTTTTTGGTTCATTTTCATTTAGTTTCATTTGATGTACTAAAATAACTAAAACAGAAATAAATGTAAAAAAAATTATGTAGACATATAAAAAAATATATACCTCACCGTCAGCCTCAGACGTACCTGTGTTACCATGGAAAGATCAATAGTAAAACAGGTAAAGCAGCATATTGCCACAACAACTTCACGACGCTGAGAGCCGAGGAATGACTTTGGGGGCAGCATGTCCATTATTCCAGTAATAAAGCCTTCAACACCAACAAACTGAGAGAGACAGAGAGAAAAATGAATCTAGTTTAAAAGGAAGCTGATGATCTAACCGAGAAATTTGTGGACAGCAAGGACATCTGAATGTGTCTGACCCTGTCAAACATTGTTGCTAATCTAAGAGCGCTACGGCTAATCAAAGGCATTGTGTGAACATTAAGGCGCCGTCACACAGGATGTGTTCATGCATTCCTGTGCTATTTTTTAATGGTTGCTTTACGTACGCATGCGTCACACTGACAGAGATTACATAGCTGGAGGATGGTGGGCTGCTGTACAGTTGCTGGCTAATATATCTTCCTACTTGAATTGAACATGTGAAATTTCTGCATTTCATCACTGCATGTAAGGTTACACTTGAGAAAAAGAAGTGTGCTTAATTGTACTTAATGTGCACTTGTAGTGTACTTCAAATCTTAAAGGTACATTAAAAAAACGACTTGCAGATAATATAGGATTAATGAAATAAAAGGCTACTTAAGTATCATTTAACAGAGTTCACTTTCATGACTATGTTTCCATCCACCTATTTTTATGCGCATTTTGGAATAGCGCATTTAAAAAAAAAACACTGGATGGAAAGGCCAAGATGTGCATAAATTCTAAAAATACGCATACAAACTTATGTGCACAATTGAGTAGGATAAACTTTTTATCCGATAAGAAAAAATGTGCATAAACTACGATGGAAACAAATTTACTGAATAAATTCCACCAAACGCATCCAAAAAAGACATCATATATGAAAATTACTATATTAAGTGGCTTCTCCTATTTTTCTTAGTGATATTTAGTACCAGTTTATCAGGAAGTGAAGCTTTTGTTCTCTTTGACTCGTTGGATGGAAACGGTGCTTTGTTCGCAAATGTTTTATGCGACTTTCCATTTTTGTGCAGAAGTTAAATTTGAATCTTTGGATGGAAACATAGCTTATGTCCTTTGATCCATGAACATTTCTCTCAGTTAATGTATCTGTAGCAGAGATGAGGACTATCAACAGCAAGCTGAGATCTTGGCAGACAGGTTCAGGCAGAGAGCGTACAAAGAGGAGTTAATCCAAGCTGCCGCCGCACGTTTCAGCAATGTTTCCCAACAAGATTGTCTGGTTAAGAGATCTAAATGTAAAGAGCAGCGTGTTAATTGTTTTATTCGATATTCCCCTTTGCAAAAAACATCGATGGTATTATTCAGAAATATTGGCACATTGTTGAGAGCGATCCCAAGTTGCAATCAATTTTTGATAAATCACCTAGGGTGGTCTATAAGAGACCTCCCAATTTGCGCAACATGCTGGTTAGGGCAGATCTGTCGGTTCCACAACAAACACATTTCTTGAGTCATATACCTTTTGGTAATTTCAAGTGTGGTAGCTGTCAACAATGTAATTTTAAGTATAAAAATTGGCACATTGTTGAGAGCGATCCCAAGTTGCAATCAATTTTTGATAAATCACCTAGGGTGGTCTATAAGAGACCTCCCAATTTGCGCAACATGCTGGTTAGGGCAGATCTGTCGGTTCCACAACCAACACATTTCTTGAGTCATATACCTTTTGGTAATTTCAAGTGTGGTAGCTGTCAACAATGTAAGTTTACGTATAAAACGCAAACTTTTAATCATCCCTCTTCTGGTAAAACTTTTAAGATCCAAGGAACGATTTCTTGTAAAACAACCAACGTTATTTATATGTTGTTGCTGCTCTCACTTTTATGTGATTTGCTTTTTGCCCTTTTCTTACATGATTTGTTGATTGCCCTGACTTTTTTTTTTGTGTGTGGTCATGTGGGCAATCATGTGATTTAGTGTGGTGTATATAAGGGTGTTGTCATGTACGTTCGTTGTCTGATTAAGAGCGTTTAAGCTCGAAACGTCACCTGTGGTGAGAACATAATTAAATACTTATCTTTCTCTGGAGCTGTGGTGTGCCTACTTTGATGTTTTCGTTCTCAGTTAATGTATGCAATCTCACAGTCTGAAGTGTGTCCCACATGCTGTTGTGAGTAATTAAAGTGCCCCTATTATGAGTTATGAAAGGTTCATATTTTGGTTTTGGGAGTGTCCAACAACAGGTTGACATGCATGCAAGCTCAAAAAACACTTTCATTGTCTTATAATATGCATTTATTTTTATCTTACTTGCTCAACAACTCCCAAACGTTTCGCTCAACTATTAATTTTTCCAAACCCCTCTTTTGCGTGACGCTAATCTGCGGTGATTGGTC